GGTCCGTGTGTCCCGCAGGGCTGTGGATATGTACTCAGACATGCGCTTCTCCATCAGTGCCACACGGATCCAGGCCCGGCCCTGCAAGGCACCGCCCCGTGGGGCAGCCCTGAGGATGGGTGCCACCATCGGCTGCTCATCAGGTGCCACCCTCAGCTGCCACCCACCATGCTCCCACCTGCCCCCAGGCTCCGGGCACCAGCAGGCAGCTGGTCCCCACCTGGGAGCTGCTTTCAGCCCCGTTATCCCCCCGTGGGGACCCACAGCTCCTGTTTTGCCCCCGTGGGGTCCTACGGGGTGAGATGGGGCTGCAGGAGGGCAGGGTGGAGGGCATGGGGATGGGGGCAGAGAGGGGATGGGAACAAGGATGGGGATGGAGATGGGGAGGGGAGGGGATGGGATGGGATGGGATGGGGAAGAAGGAGATGGGGATAGGGATGGGGACAGAGATGTGATGGAGATGGGGATGAGATGGGATGGGATGGGATGGGATGAGGATGGGATGAGGATGGGATGGAGATAGGACGAGGATGGAGATAGGATGGAGATGAGATGGGGATAGCAATGGGTCCATGTGCCAGGGACAGGAATAGGAATGGGGATGGGGTCAGGGATAGAGACCAGGACAGGGCTGGGGCTGGCACCTTCCTGACCTTGGCCCTGGAGGTGCTGATGTTCTCCATGTTCTCGATGCTGCTGACGCAGTTGTTGGGGACCTTGCTGCAGGCCAGGCGGATGTAGTCCCAAAACCCGCGCTGTCCATCCGAGCTGAACCAGCTGACGGGGCCTGCAGGGTCCAAGGGGCTACAGTCAGGGGCTGCCTGTGCCAGCAAACCCCACCAGCGCGGAAAGCCCCCAGCCGGAGCCTGGACATGCTCCCTGGTGCCAGCATGTGCGTGCATGCATCCCCATCCACCATGCACACAGAGATGGGGACAGGGACATGCCAGGGGCTGCATGGGCACCTGTCCCTGCAGGCCACTGTTACCTTTAAAGCGGTGGCTGAGAATCTGCTCAAGGATGGCAGCAAAGTTAACGAACTCCTCGGAGGAGTCATCGATGGGCTCCGCTGTGTATTTCTCCAGCAGGGTCTTCACCGAGAACCTGGCCAGGGGACAGGTGTCATGAGTAGGAGGGGATGGGCACCCAGCACCCTGCACCCAGCGCCCATTAGGTTTTAGCAACAGAGCAAAGTGCTTTTGCAGATGTTGGCTTTCAAGCCCAGCAGCGGGAAGAGGGCGGCGGGCTGAGCCGTGGGCTGTGGCTCACTGACCCCCGTGTCCCTGTGTCCCCAGAGACCCCGCTGGGGCGGCTGCCGCTCCCCCACTGTGCGCACAGCCAGGAAGGGCGAACAAAGGCCCCCTTCCTCCCTGGCCGTGCGCGGGTGGTGATGGCTTCCCCTTCCGCCCGGCCACTCGTGCTTGGTGGAGAGAGATGCCGAAGGCGTGAAACCCGCTAAGGCTGGCAGGACAGCAGGGGCCGGGGCAGGTGTTTGGGGGGGGGGGATCACCCCATCCGTGGGTC